ACATGCAGGCAATACTCATACACATAAAAATAAAAATAATAAAGAAATAATAAAGAAAAAAGTTTTAGAAAAGGCTAATGATAGTGTAAGGATGGAGCCAAAAGGAAACGAGCAGAGAGGGTAGGCTAGACAGGACTATTGCCTCAGTCCCATAGTGGGACAGGATAGGTACCAGCTGCTGGCCCTGTTCTGAATGTCACCAGGAACAGGTTATGTTGGTGGGATTAAAGATGTCGTGCTGCCCACATGAGTTCCTTAAAGCTAGCAACTGAGTCTCCTGGGCCTTCATGCTGCTTCTCCCTGAGCCCCGAGGTTTATAAGCCTTAACTTGGTTTACAAGGCTTTTGCAACATGACCTAACAGCTCTCCATCTCCATTGATCAGCTTCTGAGAAACTTCTTGCCACTTCTTGAGTATCCTGTATTCCCTCTAGCTTCCTTGATCCTCCTGTTCTCTGCATTGGCAAGCCTTCTGCCTGTCTTGTTAGAGAAGACACCTTTTAGCTTTACCAAGTGTAATGTCACCTCACACCACCTAGAATAGCTATATCCTCCAGTGTGGATTTTTCAGGGCCACCAATGCATATGGTCCTCTTCCAATATCCTTGGGGATTGGTTCTAGGACCCCTTACCCCATGGTTACTAAAATCCCTATCTCTTATATTAAATGACCTAGCATTTACATATAACCCATGAACCTCTTCCCCAATACTTTAAACCATCTACTATCATCTATTATTTATAATAGCTGATACAATATAAATACTATATACATTTATATTTCTGATGCTAGCTGCACAGATCAGGATGGAAAAGATAGGAGATGGACTGGGAAAAGGCACATGAAGGACAAGCCCAGAGACAGGAGTCTCAGGAAGGTCTTTGTCCTAGCTCAGTACTGATACAGGAGGCCTCTGCCAACAGCAAGAAGATTGAGGCCCCCAGGCTTTCATGGTCACCTGTATGCAGTCAGATTGCTGCCCAGTGAGAAAGTCAATCAATCAAGACAAGTGAGGGCCAAGCCTGAAGGTTGCTCAGGTTTACACTCCAAACTACGGCTAAATGAAAAGACCACCTTGGTGTAACAGTTTATAAGTTTCTGGGGGATTTGGGTTGTTTGTTTGTTTAGTCGGTTCTTTGCTTTTGTTTGGGTTTTTTTGAGGGGCAAGGTCTCATCTAGTCCAAGCTGGCCTGAAACTCGCTATGTAGTTGAGAACGACCTTGAACTTCTGATCCTTCTGCCTCTATCTCCTGAAAGCTAGGATTATAGACATGAATCACCACATCCTGTCTTACTTAACTTAGTTTTTAATGTCATTTTACAGCCCTCACCCATACTTTCATTCAAACAGTTTTTCCAGCATGCAGTGGAAAACTACAAGCTTGGATCCACCCTTACCTTCAGAGAATCTTGCCTTTTGATCCCTAGGCCTAAGATATCTCAAACACACAATGTCAAGCAAACTTCTCCATTCTCACCTCTCCCAGTGAAGATACGAGAATATGAATCCATTGCTTTCAGAGCTTTGATATGCAAAAGCACAGCCATATTCATTCACTACTTTGGGTGGAAGGCAGAGTAGGGTCCCCAGGGATCAAGGTCAGGTGCCCAGATGACAAGAGCACATGGCTCAGTGAGCTTGTATGCATTATAGACAGTAGCTTTTTGGTGCAAGGTTAAGTAAAAGTCATTAGTCCAGATTCTGTCCATATTGTAAGTCATTCCTAAGTTCCCCTGAGCACAGCAGAAGAGGCAAACCACCTGCTGGGTCTGTACATTGCACATCTGTGAAGGAGCCTAGGAATCTGGATGATGGAGTCCACAAGCCTTGGACCTCATCATCCCAGAAGACAGGAGGAACCTCCTCACCTTACCCAATGATTAGACGGTATACGTTACCAGCAAGCAAGAACTGAGATTTAATTTAATTTTTAAACGTAGGAATTGCTTTCTACTATGAAAAGATAAATGAAATGATTAATTTCTATTTTTTATTTTATTTATTTTTTTATTTTATGTGTACAACTGTGTTGCCTTATGTGTGTAAGGGCACCTGTGTCATGCAATACCTATGGAGGACAGAAGAGGGCGTTGCATTCCCTTGGAACTGAAGTTACAGATGGTTGTTAGCCCTCTTCTGACTTCCTCGGGCATTACATGACATGTGTGCCCTTACACACATGCAGGTAATACACTCATACACACAAAATAAAAATAATAAATAAAATAGTAAACAAAAAATTAGATGCTTTCTATAGTGCCTAGCACTTAGTAGATGGTATGCACTAGTTAATTATTTCCTTCCCCATATGAACATTGAAGGGTAAATCAAAGTCATTTCTAGCAGGCATCTAGAACCCAGTCTATTGTTTCATTGCTGAAGATACATCGTCATCCTTGGGGGCGGGGGGGGGTGGCAGTTATAGGTGAATGGTAGTAGACCATTAATAGATACAATCCAAGGACAAGGCAGGAACTATTAGAAGTGGCTCCTTCAGTTCACAGTCATGTAGAGAGAGCACATGTGGGTCTCTCCCTCCCCTTGGGGGCCGTTGGCCACTGATCCACAAGAACAAAGGGAGCAGAAGAACGGGGTCAGGACAGCCAGTGAGCACAACAGAAAAGACCTTCCAGGGAGTCAGATTCAGTGATACAGCTCTGTTTATTCAGTGGGGGTCAGGGAAAAATATAGTGTAAAGGCAGCAGCCAAAGCTTCAGCTGATAGGTGTTCATAGTATGCTTTATTTACATGTGGTAGGGGGATCCTATCATCTGGCTATAGGGAAATGCCTAATTATCACATAGAAAAAAACCTGGGGGCAGTTTTATTGCAGGTAACTATGCCCAAGGTCATGTTCCAAATAAGGCCAGGCATCTGTTCTTGGAGGCACTTTCCAGATAAGTCAGGCAGAGAACAGGAAGCCCCAGCTGAGAAAGGGAGTCCTTGCATATAGCACCGATCTCCTTAGAGCTATCCAGACATGGTGGACTGCAACCTTAGCAGCAGGGTCCCCCAACAAACATAGACATTGCACTAAAGAAATGGAAGTCAGCCAGACCACAGTTAGCACAGTGAGCTGGCGGGAGCATCACTGGCAGTCACAATGTGAAAGATGGACTTTCACCTCATTCTCTATACTTTGAGAATGAACTGGAACAAGCTGATGAGACAAGTGCTCAAAGGCACTTGAAGGGACTTTCTCTCATGATGGGGCCTAGGAAATTGCTTCAGGTGAGGGCCTTATGTCTAAATTCCACTACAGAGTACCAGTCCCACTATATGGATCAGATCCTACAAGCTAGTTACAGACAAGTTTTGGATATAGAGGAGGGAGGGGGCTGAACGTGGGCATGACTGGATGGGGTATGTGCTCTTGTGTTCAGAGTTGGGAGATTTGAAACTGAATCTCAGGCTACTGCTTACCAGTTCTGTAGCCATAGGCAAGTTACTACTAAAGCCTGCTTCTTCCAATGAAAACTATGAATCATAGTTCTCATGTCATAAGGAGGACCCTTGTCAAAACTGTAATTAATTAGAACTGGACCCACACCAGGGGACGTGGTATCTGTTTTGCTCACAGCTAAATACCTGATGCCTGCCGGGTCTAGCCATAGCAGGTGCTTAATAAATGTTTACAGATACTGGATCAGAATGTGTTGTCACGGGTCTGATGTTAAGAGTGTTTGTGGGCACACAGCCATGAGGAAGAGAAAGTGGGAGAGAAAGTGGTGGAGGGAGGCTTCCCAGAGGTGAGCAAGCTGCGGGGGTGGGGGGCAGTGAGAGCCAGGAACAGGGTGTATGACAGGGCAGTGGCAGGGGTCACAGGTGATACTCCCTTCATGATGGCTGAGGTCCAACAGCACACAGCCACCTCTGCTTCCCACGTGTTGTCTTAGGACCCAGGAGAAGGACCGTGAAAACAGCACAACCCCTGGGAACACTGGAAGGACAAATGGCTGCTACCAAGTGTCCTATAAATAATAACAACCATGGTCAAAGAGGGAGAAAAATCCACTGACCATCATTGTCTGGACAAATCAAGTATCAAGAAGGGGAAGGGAGAGGGGCATGGGACTGCTGTTCTTTAAGACTGATGGCCATTCAGTGCATGCCATTTCAGGGGGAACATCACCTGTTTGCTTGGGTAAAGAATCAGAACAATGCAAATAGTAAATGATCTTGGCCTGAGTCTTCAGACTCTCAAGGCACCCTTGCCCAGGCACCTAAGATAGCCCTCATAAATTTTTTATGTATGTATGCATGTATGGGTGCATGTTCATGTCTGTGTAGGTGCATGTCTGTGTGCACTTGTGTGGGAAAGCCAGAAGACCACCTTGGGTGTCATCCTCAAGCATTATCTATCTGTCATTGTCTGCCTGTCTTTATCTTTTCATTCCTTCCTTCCTTTCTTCCTTCTTTCCATCCTTTCTTTTCTTTCTTTCTTTCCTTCCTTCTTTCTTTTTTTTTATTTTTTATTTTTGAGACAGGGTCTCTCACTGTCCTGGAACTCACCAAGTAGGTTAGGCTGGCTGGCCAGGGAGTCCCAAGGATCTGCCTGTCTCTGTCTTCTCAGTACTGGGATTACAAGTGCATTGCTGCCATGTTTTTTGTTTCTTCCTGGGGATCACACTCAGGCCCAGTTCTTTATCTACTGAGCTATCTCCCTAGTCCCCCTCATTAAAAACAGATATTATATTTATTTAGCCTGTGTGTGTGTGTCTGTCTGTCATGCCACATGTATGGAGGTCAGAGGACAACTTGTGGGAGTTGGTTCTCTTCTTCTACCATGTGGGTCCCAGAGATTGAACTCAGGTCATCAGACTGGTGGCAAGTGCCTTTACTCACTGAGTCATCTCACCCACTCCCCTCATTTTTTTAAGAAATGAAACTTTGTATGCCTGTACTGGACAATCTGCCTTTAACAGTTCCAATGTCAGAAATCACACCCAAGGACAGAAACAAGCCTCACACCCACTAACGTTCTTCTCTTTCCTTCTAGTATGTGTCCAGTAGACGGGCCATCACCCAGAGCTCTGCAGAGCAAGTCAGCTTCCACCAGCACCATATCCCCCACCACCATCGCCATCACTGCCACCACAACCACCTGTGCCACCATGCCCATCCCCACCACCTCCACCACCAGGAGGCAGGGCTGCACAGTACTCAGGTGACCCCCTGCATGTGCCCGCTCTTCTCCTGCCCATGGGAAGGCCACTTGGAGGTGGTGGTGCCTCACCTGCGGCAGATCCACAGGGTTGACATCCTTCAAGGGGCAGAGATAGTCTTCCTGGCCACGGACATGCACCTCCCTGCACCAGCCGACTGGATCATCATACACTCCTGCCTTGGCCACCACTTCCTACTTGTGCTCAGGAAGCAGGAACGGCATGAAGGGCATCCCCAGTTCTTTGCCACTATGATGCTGATTGGGACCCCCACTCAAGCCGACTGCTTCACCTACCGCCTGGAGCTCAACAGAAACCACCGGCGTCTCAAATGGGAGGCCACCCCAAGGTCTGTCCTGGAGTGTGTGGACTCAGTCATTACTGACGGGGACTGCCTCGTCCTCAACACCTCGCTGGCCCAACTCTTCTCTGACAATGGCAGCCTTGCCATAGGAATTGCTATCACTGCAACGGAGGTCCACTCCACAGATGCAGAGATGTGAGACCAGGAGCCACTGGACGCTCTCTCATAGCCACCAGGAAAATTGACCTGTGCACCTGGGACCTCCAGATATCAGGACCAGATTCCTTTTTATTTTATTCCCCTTCCTTCCTTCCTTCCTTCCTTCCTTCCTTCCTTCCTTCCTTCCTCCCTTCCTCCCTTCCTCCTTTCCGTCCTTCAATCCTTCCTTCCCTCCTTCCCTCCTTCCCTCCCTCCCTCCCTTCCTCCCTCCCTTCCTTCCTTCCATCCTTCCTTCCTTCCTTCTTTCCTTCCTTCCCTCCTTCCTTCCTCCCTTCCTTCCTATTTTCTTTTTCTTTTTCTTTTTTTTTTTTTTTTGGTCTCAGGTACTTTGTGGTATTTAGTATTTGTCTGCTATGGGCATTATATTATGTAAACATCCCGTGATTCAAGCTCTTAGTATGATGTCTGTCCTGTTTTCTTGGTACAATTTTATAGAACATTTGTAAGATTCTACCAGAATAGTTCTTTCCCACCACCCCTAATTCCTTTCTTTGCTGCTTCCAAAAGGAGCAAATAACTCCGTGACCATAAAACAGACCACTGGAGTCTTGGCGTCTGAACAATTCCTTCTTTTTTCAGCCTATTTGAGGTAGAGGCTACCTTGCCATGGCTGAGGCAGCGTGTGTGGGGAGGGGATCCAGCCAGCCCAGAGACAGATCAAGTTTCAGACCAGCTAGCCATAACTGACACCTTCCCAGGAGCCTCAGATCCAATCTAGGCTGCATGTGCATCTAAGCTGCATGAGCCTGCGGCAGGCGGGCAGACAGAGGAGTCAGCTCAGGGCACCCTTTGTACCACCAGCGCTCTGGTTGATCCGGCACTAGGGACGATGGTCAGATGCAGAATCCTCTTTTTTCAGGCTCCCATAGCCTGGTTCCTTGACCATGCGATCCCTTTATGCTTTGAAATTAAAGTCCTGAAGTTCCTGGTGCTTTTTTGAAAACTCCTTTGCCCTCTATGAGCAAGTAGGATGGGTAAGATGCAGGAGAGAAGCAACAGCATAAAAAAGTATAAAATGAATCTCTCACCTCTGGGAGGATGCTCCCTCCTTAGAGAGACTTTATAAATGTATAAATTATAAATCTATCAACCTTCTCACTGGAATAACATCTTTTTGTATGAGCCAAAGAAGCACTGTGTTCTTGACACACAATTTATCATCAAACACTGGGACCCCAGAGAGAAGTAACCAGGTAGGCCTGGAGAGCTGGCTCTGACACACACTTTTGGGTTTCCTTTGCTTTCCTTACTTCTAAAAGGTTCTTCATCCTTCTGCAGCACATAAACATGACAACTCAGGAGCAAGCCCAGCTCGGCATGCAGGAGGAAAGCACAGGATCCTGTCTCCCTTCTCCAGAGGCTGCTTTCTTTTTAGTTGTCAGAACAGTACATCAGTCTCCCATGAGTGGCCTTCCTACACAGAAAGTGAAGATCTGCTTGCTCTCTATTCTAAGTTGGAAACCTTAAAGCCTTCCCAAATGGGCCACATACTCCTACCCATCCTTCCCGCTGCTCTCCAGGTGCTGGGGAAGCATGGCGCCCAAGTCCAGCACAGGGCTGGGTGGGGCTGAGTGGGCCTTTTGCCAGTCCATTTCCTCACCCCAGGCACACCAGCCAGGCCTGGCAGGCCTCCAAGTGAGCACTTTGTTTTGGGCAGATTGCCTTGAGTGGCCATCAGCAATCCTTTCTCCACCAAAAATAATTAATCTTAAAACACAATACGCTCCCCCAAACTGGGTGATTCTCCAGCCACTTTTGCTGCCAGCCCACACCCTAAGCACTACATAGAAGGTGCCAATTCATAGAAGATTTGAAAACACAGTTCTCTGGAGTCACTTGGGACTCCATTCCTGGGATTCTGAACTGAGGCTTCATTCTATCACAGTACTGAGGAGCACAACTAATTTTGCTCACAAATTAACATAAACAATTAAGCTCTATGGTCTTCAGCAGAGGGGCCTATATCATGCCTGCTGTCAGAGCTATCAGAGATGCTGCTCCAGGGCCTTAGCCCACCACATCCAACCAAGAATGACCCAGACCTGGAGCCCGGTGGTCAGCACTGGGAGGGACCAGCATGTGTGATGCCTGCCTGCAATCCAAAACCTTCATGGCTGTTTAATATGATGCTTCTAGAGGCCACAGTTCCTCTTTTGGTTTCTAATATTTGGGAAATATTTGTGTAGCATCATAGGTGCCCCAGATAAACACACAAAACCTCAAGAAGAATACAGTCCATGCTTACAGGCCTCAGGCTCCTACAACATTGCCTTTGCCTTTTTACTGTGCCAAGATACCTGAGCCAAACTAGGAACAACTGCGGGTTAATGTTATTGAACACTGTATTATGACTAAGTGATCCTAGGTACAGACTTGCATGGTAGTTCCTACAAACCTTCAGAATAAAGGTTAGGAAATGTATCCTTTTCCTCTAATTATGGTGCTCCCAAGAAGGCCTTTTTCGCTACACCCATATGTCGAGAATGGAAGAAAAAGGAGTAAACTAACAATAGCAAATTGGACATAGGAAATGGTCACAACAACAAGAAAAATCTTGTGTTTGAGTGTTATTGCTACCAAAGGGCTCTCATTTAGTCTCAAGCTAAGCATAATCAGCTTCCTCAGTATACGGGGTCCAGAGACATGCCATGACTATCTCAAGGTCACACTTCAAACCACAAGTAAACTCAGCTTGACCAACCCACCTAAACTTGGTGTCCTTAATACAGGAAGATCAACCCCCAATATTTAGCAGGGGTCTCACTTCAGCAGTGGACTAGTAACCTAAAAACTGACTGGGCCATCAACCTGGACTAATGGAGACACCAGAGAGGGAAAGACTGGGGTGGATTTCTTTTTAGATGCATCTGATCAACCTGGAAGTAGGCTGGTCCCAAGAATGTGGTGGGGAAGAGACACATGGAGGGTTGGTGGCCCCTGTCCTTTCTGTCTCCCTTCACCCACTACCAGACCTCTTGTTCCTAGATTCCCAAGAACCCAAGCACAGAACTTTGGGACCTGGTTGCCTCATTCACGCCAAGGAACTAGACATAATGATACCCTCTGAGGAATATGTATGTGTTAATAGAAGGCCTAGAGAGACAACAGCACTTAACACTGAGAAATGAGTTGCCTGTATTTGAATCGGCATTTGTGAGCAGTTTGTTTCAGAGATGTGCAAAGAGGAGCATGCCTCCCCTTGAATCTGAGCCTATAAGAATGACTGATTAGATTAGGCCATACAATGAAGATTGAGGCATGCACATGAACCTGTACCTGGGTTAGACCAAACACTTCTACGGCTTCTGGGGATGTTTAGAGATGGTTCAGGATAGTAGTCACACTAGATTTCATGGCTGTCACTGACTGAAAGTTCCCTGCATGATCCACAGGGATAAGCACTAAAAACATATTATCTCATATAATCCTCAGCGGAGCCCATATGAACCTACTGCTATTGTACCCATGTACTAGATGAGAAACAAGCTACAGTTAGCAAACAGTAGAACTGGCTCCATAGTCCAGGCTTCTAACCTACCAGTCATTTCTGTGAACTTATGTACTCTAGTTTCAGAAGGACCCAGGCATAAAGTCTGAATGGTATGGAAACCTTTAAATATTTTAGTACTAAATGTATCCTTTCATTTCATCTTCGTGTCCTTTTTTTCTTCCAACCCAATAGCTGTCTTGTATTAAGATTGTGAAATTTTTAGGCATTTTGTAGGCCAGTTATTATAGTCACTATTAAAAATGAGCTATATAATCTTACAATTAAATAAATTCTATTTAAAGCAAGGATAATACTCAGTCTTTATCACTTCCCGGTTCTTTGACCCCCTTTTTGTCTTCTGTGCTCCAAGGCCATTTGCCTCAGATCTGTAAGGTGAATATGCAATACAATGATACGCCATCACTCACATTCCAACCCCACATGCGGTGACTTCATGGTGACAGCTTGCAGTTAGCCATGATAGATGGATTTACACCATGGGCATTGGCAAACACTACGAGCCAGAACTTTTACCCACAGAAAGTCGGTTATTAAACATTTACTGTCATGGCACTATCTAAAACTTGCTGATAAACACAACAGGATAGGAAGAAGGGACTTTGGGAGGAGAAGGAAGCCCTTGGTGAGCACACTGACAGAGGCAGATGACAATCAAACACAAATTATTGGGAAAACAAAACTGTATTGAGGAAGAGACTCTGAAGTTTCCAAACAGCTTCAAGAGCATTTCCTGCTCAAACCACCCTACCCTGACCCCTCACTGCTGCTGTGTCAAGTCCTATCTGATGCTGTCACGGAGAACCATGGTCCACAAAACCCGTCTATTGGTAATCCCAACCTAAAAAAGCAAGTTCTATAAAACTGGAATCTCCTATCGTTTTCTTTCATAACTTTCCCTCCCTCCTTATTCCTTACTTGTATATCAAAATGTACTCTAAAGAAATGCTTTACTTTGAAATTAGCAATTGTGGGACTGGAGCGATGGATCAATGGCTAAGAACACTGGCTGCTCTTGCAAAGGATCCAGGTTCAATTCCCAGCACCCACATGGCAGCTAACAACTGTCCATAACTCTAGTTCCAGGGGATCCAATGCTGTCTTCTGACCTCTGTAGTCATTGCATGACATGGGTGCACTTACATGCAGGCAATACACTCATACACACACACACACACACAAAATTTTAAGTAAATTAAATGTTTTTTAAAAAGGGAAAGTAGCAATTGGAAACATCCATCATTTGAAAAGGATGTAGTAAGTAGTGATTTCAAATATCACATAAAATCTGTTGCCAGAAAAGGGAAGTGAATCCTGGCACACAAAGCTGAGGGACTGAGAAGGTGATGTATAAAGGGGTGTCACATGAAAGATGGAGCCCAGCGCTTTCCCTTCCTGCTTTGGCTGCTCTACTTGATTACAACCCCTTCCATGGTCAAGAGTAAATCAGGGGCCTGGAAAGATGACTCAATCAATAAAACCTTGGCTGTGTATGTGTGATAACTTGAGTTTGGATCTCCAGCACTCACATAAAAGCCAGGTGCTACAGTGTGTGCCTATAATCCCAAC